TATCTATCTATCTATCTATCTATCTATCTATCTATCTATCTATCTATTTTGGTTGTTGTTGTTTTTGACCAGGGGAATGAAGATTTGGTGCTTGAAAATGTGAGCCAGGTGTCTTTTGAAACAACAAACCGAGAGGCGGCGAGAAAACGGAACTTGCCTAAGCTTTCAACTGAAATGTCACCACCTGCTCGGCAGCCCTTGAAGGAGGTTCGTTGTCCCCCCCACCCCCCCCACTGAGTTTGCTCACTGATGGAGGAAGTGCATTCTTTAATGCGGTGGCTACTAGGAGAAGAGGAGAATGCCTTTAACCCAGATGGTGTCTTTCCATAACCTCGCAAATGGGTCAGCTATACAGGTCGTTGGTCCTATTTAGTGATCAAAAACCTGAACCAGTTTAGAGGAAAGCTATAAGAGAAATGATACTGAGTTAAGAAAATAGATAGACAGTGTTCACCAAGGGAAGCATTTCTATTGGGTGTCTACGATGTTGCTTGCTGTGTCTTGTGAGTGGTCAATACCTTTTACAGGTTGAATGCCCTCATTTGAAATGCTTGTGATTTATAAGTGTTTCAGATTTTAGGAGGTTTTCGTGTATATATTGTGATATTGGGACAGTAGTATAAACACATTCATTTTCTGTATACCTTCTTTACATAAACTAAAGACAGTTTTACTCAGTGTCTCTAAATGAGACATTATGTCTCTAAATGAGACATAATGGCATGGCGTTATGTCTCTGCCTCTGGCACTGCAGCCTGCACAACGACCCAAGGTTCTTCCTGTTTCTTTAAATAGGGCAATTTTACACAATATCCTAGAACATCTTTAAAAAAAAAATTAGGGAAGCATGCTGGTGGCTGATTACAGGACCTGGGGCAGGCTAGGCAAGCCCTCTGCTATTGGGCTTCCTTGCCTGGGCAGAACTCACTCTTCTTTTCTCTCCTCCTCCTCTTCTCCTTTGAGACAGAATTTAACTAAGAGATACTTTAAAAAAAATCACATTCACTAATGTAGTGTATGTGTGTATGCATGAGAGAGCGAATATCTGAGAACTACCTGTGGGAACCCTTTTCTCTAGGGGTTGGACCCAGGTTGTCACCCAGTGCCCTGGTCAGGTTCTACTGCTGTGAAGAGACACCATGACCATGGCAACTCTTAGAAGGGAAAGCATTTAGTTGGGGCTGGCTTACAGTTCAGAGGTTTAGTCCGTGATTGTCATGGTGGGAGCATGGCAGCACACAGGCAGACATGGCGCTGGAGGCATAGCTGAGAGTTCTGTCTGGATCAGCAGGCAGCAGAGAGCGAGACAGACTAGGCCTGGCTTAGCACTTGAAACATCAGAACCCCCCCCCCCCCCCCTTCCCCCCCCCCCCCGGGACTGGCCTTCTCCAACAATGTCACACCTCTGCCAACAAGGCCACGGCTCCTAATAGTGCCGCTCTCTGAGTCTGTGGGGGCCATTTTCATTCAAACCACCACATCTAGTAAGCTATCTTGCTCACTCAATAGATTTTAATAACACTTTATTTGGTATTTTTGAAATAATGTCTTACTTTGTCACTTTGGCTGGCCTAGAACTTGCTGTGAAGATCAGGCTTAGCCTTAGAAATCTGCCTATCTCTCTTATAGATTTATGTATTTATTATGTTTACAGGGTTCTGTCTGCATGTATGCCTGCACCCTGAGGGGGGCACTAGGTCTCTTGATATGTGGTTGTGAGCCACTATGTGGTTGCTGGGAATTGAACTCAGGACTTTGGCAGAACGGCCAGTGTTCTTAACCCGTGAGCCATCTCTCTAGCCCTCTCATATTTTGCTAGGTTCTCGATTTACCTGATGAACCGCCAGAAGCAGCTGAAGAGGTATGTTTCTCTTATTCTCCATTGCCGCCACTTGGCATCAGGTGGGTAAGTCCCACCTACCCTTGGGTTTGTGGAGGGGAGCAAGTTCCTTGCGGCTGCCTAGGAATTGTGTCTCTTGAGTGTGGCCTCAGATGCTTGGCCAAGTGCTGCTGAGAAGGCAGGCTGCCAGGTTGTCTTTTAGAGCCCGCCCCCTGCGCCAGGCGGAGAGGGCACAGGCCTACAGAGCTGCTTGCTGCCATCAGCAGCACTGAAAGGGGCAGGCGGCTCTACTCTAGCTCCCCACTTCCGAGGGAGCCTGCAGCTGCTTGTGCATTTAAAGAATGGTTCTCTGTTGCTGGGATGGGGTGGGACGGGTTCCACGTTTGCCTCCTCATCCTGTTTTGCTTTTTGCTACTGGCTTCCTTAGTTTTAAGTGACTGTCTGATGCAGGGGGACCACGTGTCTTTGGAACCATGAAGTTATTGGTCAACATGCCCAGAAAGAGAACTGTCAGCATCCATTAGACTCCTCAGAAAACAGGTTTTGAAACAGCCATGCACAATTAAGAGAGACTTGTTTTGTCAACACATTTGTAACATTTAAGTTTGGTACTTTGGATATCTTAGGACAATCTAAAAGTTATTTACAGATAAACACAAGTGAAAGCATTCCAGATACTGAATCCCCAGTAGAAAAATACGTATTATTTTTTATGTGTATGTGCTGCATGAGTTTATGTGTCCCACATGAGGGCAGACATCCATGGAAGCCAAAGGGCATTTGGATTTCCTAGAATGGAGTCGCAGGAGGTTGTGAGTCACCTGATGTGGGTGATGGGCACTGACCTCAGGTCGTCTGCAAGAGCAGTACATGCTCTCTAGCCCTTTTTACTTATATATTTTTGCTTTTTCAAGACAGAGTTTCTCTGAGTAGCCTTGGCTGTCCTGGATGCACTTTGTAGACCAGGCTGGCTTCGAACTCACAGCCTGCCTCTGCCTCCCTAAGTGCTGGGATTAAAGGCATGAACCGTGCCTGGCACCAGCCCCTTTTAAAATACTTTGTCTTTTAGATTTGATATTTCTGAGGGTTTTGTGTGCATGTTTGTCTGTGCACCACATGCGTGCCCATGGAGGTCAGAAGAGGGCCGCATGTCCCTAGGAACTGGAGTTAGACTGTTTGTCAGCTCCTGTGTGCGTGCTGGGTCTTGAACTTGGGTCTTCTAGAAGAGCAGCCAGTACTCTTAACCATCTCTCCCACCTACTTAAACAGTTTGTGAGGTGGAGGTTGGCCTCAGACTTTCTCTGGCTGCAGACCACCTTAGCATCCAATCCTCCTGGCTCCGCCTTTGCAGTGCTGGGAATTGGCTTGTGTCACCCCGTGTGGGGCTTGGGTGGTGGGTGCTGAACCCAGGGCTTTGTGCTGCCAGGCAAACTCTTCTAGTTGAGCCACACCGCCAGCCTGGACTGGAGCTCCATCTGGACATTTGTCTTGTTTTTGAGATTAGGTCTTGCTTTGGAGTTCAGGTTGGCTTCAGATTGGCAGTGTTCTTGCCTCAGTTTCCTGTTTGGATTGTAGGTCTGGGTGGCCATTGTGGCTTACCTCAACATTTGTATCCCTAGGTAGTTACTGTTGCCCTTCGATGCCCAAGTGGCCATGTTGTGAGGAGAAGATTCTTCAAGTCTTGGAATTCACAGGTGAGGAAATCAATGATTTCAGAAATACTGTCTTATGACATTTGTCCGTAGTGTGTTCAACTGGAGTGCAAGTAAAAAACAAACCCAGGTTCAATTCCTAACACTTCTAAAAACATCTTACTTAAAATGGTGACATATTTGTTATCTAGATCAGCAATGGATTCTTGGCTGGTGGCTAGCAGTTCAGAGTACAGGTTGCATTATTGGATATTCAGATGCCCATGGAACATTATGTCTTTTGTCAGTCTGCTTTTGGTTGTTGAGACACAAGACCTTGCTGTTGCCCGGCTTGATCTCAAACCCGGTAACTTTTGCTCCAGTAATCCTTGTCTCAGCTTTTGGGTAGCTGGGAGTACAGGTGTATGGAACCACACCCAGCCCTCCTTTCCTTTTTAGCAAAGCACGCCTAGTTTAAAATGTCATGTTTTAAGGTAAATATGTTTTCATGTGGATTGGCTTGAATATCTCTATCAAGACTGTAACTTTCGTTTTGGGGTGCTGGACTTTGAACCCAGTGTGTGCGTGTGGTAATCTTTATGGACAGTTACAGGGATGACCCACAGTGAATTGGGCTTTGTCTCAGGGACCCAAACAAAGCTTCTTAGTGATTTTTTTTTCTTTTTTCTTCCCCAAGACAGGGTTTCTCTGTGTAGCCGTGGCTGTCCTGGACTCACTTTGTAATACCAGGCTGGCCTGGAACTCAGCAGAGCTCCACCTGCCTCTGCTCCCGAGTGCTGGCATTATAGGTGTGCACTACCGCACCAGGCTTGCTCTTTATTACATTTATTCACTTTATATCCCAGCTGCAGCCCCTTCTCTTGTCCCCTCCTAATCCCACCCTTTCTCCTCCCAAAGTCCACTGATAGAGGGGGTCCCCCTCCCCTTCTATCTGACTCTAGCCTATCAGGTCTCAGGACTGGCTGCATTGTCTTCCTCTGTGGCCTGGCAAGGCTACCCCCTCCTTAGGGGGAGGTCAGGCTTGCTTAAAGATTTTGAACCAAATGTGTCTTTGTTCTCAACTTCTCATTGAGTATTTTCCATTCCTATTTATAGGTTGTGTCCTGTTAGTAACTACTATGATAGGAGGCCTACACTTTACCTGGAACAAAGGCATTTAAGGTTACTCATAGCTCCACTTTCATGACATATACTGTTCTAGAAAATTTCTTTGAAAGATACAGAAATTACTTCTTATTCCTAGGGACCTGATTTCAGAGTGACAGCTATATAGTCTCATAGTGTTAACAGATTCAGGACCATGTGTGCACAGTCTAAACTAAGCCTTTTTTTCTCCCTAGGTCTTATTTGACTGGATGATGAAAATTGGGTACCACAAATCCCTATACAGCCTTTCCACTTCCTTTCCCCGAAGGCCTCTAGTAGCGGAGGGAAGCTTGTCACTGGAGGACATAGGAATAACCGTGGATACTGTACTTAATGTGGAGGAGAAAGAGCAGAGCAATCAGTAAAGAGATCAGGAGTACCTGCTGACCCTAACCAGGACAGTGTTCACATTAAAGCCACGCTGTACCTTGAGCTCCTCTTGTCCACAGGAGCTTGCCCACACCCACATACGGTGGTCGAGCATGGCTTTGCATGTAGTGGTTTGTGGACTGTGTCATGCTACAATGTGTCCAAGTAAAAATAAGGTAAAAAGGACATGTAAGACAGACATCTGGAGCCGGGCGTGGTGACACATGCTGGAATCCCGGAATTTGAGTTAATTAGACCATCTTCAAACCAAACCACCTCTAGGTTATGTGAGAACTGTGATTTCTGCTTGAGTCCACCTTACCCACAGTATCTCAATTCAGTTGAACCTTCTAAGTAGGACTGTTGATTCTACTGTATTACTAAACATTTAAAGATTCTAGAGGCAGCTGATCCTGTATAATTTTGACTTAAATCTGGGCATGAAGTTTTTGACATGAACTTTGGGGGAACATACTGAAACTAGAGTAAACAAGGCCATCGTTGGTAGGTGCATTTAGAATGTGAGGTGTTGTTTTTGTATGTACTGATACCTTAGAGCACTGCCTCTCCACCTGGGGGACTTGTAGGGGTGTCAAATAACCCTTTCACCAGTGTCTGCTAAGACACACGTCAGATATTTACATTGTGATTTGTAATAGTAGCAAAATTAGTTATCAAGTAGCAACAAGAATAATTTTATGGTTGGGGGTCACAAGGATCACAGTATTAGGAAGGATTCTCTGCCTTAAGAGCCTGTCTTAAGCTGTCTTTTTAAATTAATGTTTTGATGACAGGGTTTCAAGTAGAGCCCAGGTTGGCCTTGAACTCTGCTGATCCTCCTGTCTCCCTTTCTAAGTGCTGGGATTATAGGCCCAGACCACTGCACTGTTTATGAAGTAGTAGTATTGTCCCTTGAGCTCCATTATGCCCAGCAAATACTCTATTCCAACTGAGCTACATCCCAGCTTCCTTATTTCCAAACTGTCCACTCAAGTCCCTACTTCTGCTGTTATTATCTTAAAAACACTGTACAGAGAGATTTAAAGCAACCCCCAGAGCTGGTATTATGACCTTGGAGTAGTTGCATCGCTACTGCTACTAAATTCAGGTCAATTATTCTTGTTTCTAGGTGAAAGGAGCCAACTTATCTCAGCTTTTAAAGTTTGTTTTATTTAGTCTTTTTTTTTTTTTTTTTAAGTTCTCTGTGTGTACAGCCTTGGCAGTCCTGGACTCACTTTGTAGACTAGGCTGGTCTCAAACTCACAGCGATCGGCCTTAGTCTATTAGTCATTAAAGCAGACAATCCAAGTTTTGTATTTAAAAATTATTATTAAATTAATACAGACCACTCAATGTAAAAAATGGCTTCTTAATGGTCTAAAAGTTATCAGCAAGTATTTGGGCTTTGTTCTGTTTGAGTGTAAACTATGAACATTACTTCTGTAGGCGTATGCGCACATACCCTGGAATTGAATGTGAGGCCTGAGTGAGCCACTTTGGCAGAGTTAGTCCCCAGCCCCTCAACACACCATGCATGTATTACCAGTACAGCTGCTTATTTTTATTACACTTCAGGTATTTGTGGCCTGGCAAGGTACCCACACCTGTAATCCTAGCAGAGGAGGCAGAGTCATGAGAAGGAGTTCCAGGTCATTTGGGGCTACATGGGACCACCTCAAAAGCCAAAAGTGAGCAAAAAACAACCAACTTCAAGTCTTAAGTATTTGTATCAAGTCTCAAAATGGCGATGCTTCCATTTTAATGCACATCACAGTTAAAATGTTTTTGTTTAAATTGGAAAGTTTATTTGTTCGGTACACCAAATAGGATGCAAGCACTGTCATGACAAATATACAGAAACCTGCAGATCAACATCAACAGTAATTTAGTTTAAATGAAAGGAAATCTCTTTAATGTTATGACAACATACTCCCAAGAATCTCTTCTTCAGTGAGTCACACATTTCAGTAAAATAAAAGGATTATGAATTTAAGTGGAAGTCAGCTTGTGAATTCTTAAAAATAAAACTCCAACTCTATTAATCCATGCCAGTTTAACATTGTAACTAAGTTTCCAAGTAAGCGCAAAGGAGATGAAGCAGTCAGTGACCCTTGTTGCTTAACCAGTCAAGGGAAATGCTTCCTACAGTACAGCAGGCAGGCTGGGCTGCCTCATCCACAACAGTGCACTACGGTTCAACCTGTGCTAAACGCTCATCATTAGTATGGCACGTTTTGGTCCATGATGTGGTTTAATGTCAAGACATATCACAATTTGTTACAGAAACACATAGATAACTGTTGTTTTTAAATATCTATGTATATATGTATATTTTAAAAGGCCAGGTAACTTCCACATACAAAGAAAGGTCCTGGGGAGGAAGTTAGAGGAAGTAGTCTGGGGTGCGCCGGGTCACATGAGGCTCTCCACGACGAGGTGCTGGGTCAAACTGAAGACTGAACGATAAAGACAACAATCAGCATGTAAGCCAGTAAGTAAGACACCAAGGGACAGCCATCCTTCCTGCAGCTCTCTGCTACGACTGCATTCCTTGTGGTTGGAGACCAATCTATTACCACTTAACAGCTATGGTGAAAATGTTAGTTAGTGCCTGGCAGAAAAGACTGTGACACTATGATCAGTCAAAAGGCCTTAGCACGACTGGACAGGCTCTGCTTGTTCTGGTCTTGGATCAGCATGGTTTCTTACCATCATGCTTAATCAGGTGTGGGTATGTATATGTGTCTACCAGGCACAGCAAGTTTCCTTCTGTGATGAGCTTGTTAGTTTTTTTTTTTTTTTTAAAGAACACTAAATTTTAATCAAGTGCCTTTTCTGTCTTAAAATTGTTTTTTTGTTCTTTAATATTAATGTTTTTATTACACTGACTTTTTCAACTCTGTGGTCTTGGAATCAATCCCACTTGTGTTTTCCTTCTCCACGGTCCTGGAAGGATGCAACCATAGGCATACACAGACTTTGCAACTGTCAGGGATGAGCACTTTGTTGACTTTCAATTTTTGTTGCAGTGGGACAAGGTTTTGTGTAGCCTGGAGTGGACCTAAACTCCCAGGAAAGGCTCAGTCTGAAACCTTCATCTCCCTTGTCTCTAGCTCATTAAGTGCTGGGATGGTAGGCAAGCGTGTGTTCTCAGGGCCAGTATATACAGTGCTAGGCTTGAACCCAAGGCTTTGTGGATGCCAGGTAAGCAAGGTACCAATAAGGCCACACCCCCTAGTAGTAATGTTGTATTAAACTTCTCTTAAAATAATTTATTTTGGTGATGTGTATGTATGTTTGTGTTTGGGTCTGTGTATTAGTGCCAGTGCTCAAACGTCACAAGATTGCATCAGATCCGCTGGAATTGGAATTACAGATGGTTGTGAGCTGCCATGTAGATGCTGGAAATTAAACTTGCATCCTCTGGAAGAGCAGCTTGTGCTCTTGACCACAGAGCCATCTTTCCGGGCCCCTGAAGTAGTTTCTATAAGAGTACTGTGAGGATAAAGGGGGGGCAAGAGACACAAGCTTCTAGTAGTTATAATGGACAAATTTGTCTCAATTCTTGTTTGTCCGTTGTTTTTTCAAGACAGGATATACAGTCCTGGCTGTTCTGGAACTCACTGCTTACACCAGACTGGTCTCAAACTCACCTGCTCGCCTCTGCTTCCAGGGTTAAGGACTTGAAACACCACTACGACCAGCTTAAGGTTTTCTTAAATGTTTTTCCATTAGCTGTAAACTCTTGGCAAAATTTCAGTAATTTGTAAATAATTAAAAGCTATTTTTCAGGGCTGGGTATGTAGCTCAGTGGCACAGCAATGAGCTGGCATGTATATAGGCGTGGTTTAGATGCTTATCAAAAGAAAACACTTTCTTAAGTTAAATGTTTGGGGAAGAGGGTCCACACATTCCTTGTTTTACCATTTCATAAGTGGAACTTTCACTAAAAATAGTGTTTTTTTTTTTTCTTTAAAAATACTGTTTTTATTCATGTGTGTGTGCATGTGTGTATGACTGAGTGCATGCACATGTGTTCAGGTATCTGGAGGCCAGAAGAAGATGCTGGATCCTTTGGAGCTGGAGCTATAGGTGTTTGTGGGACCTGAACTCTGGTCCTCATGACTGTATGTAACAAGTGCTCTGAGCTGCTAAGCCATCTCTCCACCCCCTAACTCTATTTCCAATAGTTAATTTTCCATCTAAAAGTGATACATACAGTTAAAATGTAAAGTTACTTACAAAGAATATTTTAAAGTGTCATCTAATTCCATGATAGCAGCCTGGTTCCCACAACGGTAGCAGTAATTGGGTGCACTAAAAATGGTAACCACGTTCCGATCATGGCACCAATTATATCCCTGCAACATTAAGAAAGGTCATTGTTTCATTATTATTCAGTCTTGACAAACAGAACTCAAAATCTCAAGTCTGTGGCTATGTAGTCATCTGTTTCTAACGGTTTATGCACCTGCTCAGAATGTAGTTATTAGGTACAAGATTCTATTATACATCCCAGTGACCATATAGCTTTTCTTAGTCTACACTTAAGATCTTAGCTCAGGGTATGCACTGAATTTCTCAAAGATGCTAATCTCCCCATTTTCCCTCATAAAATTTTTCTTAAATTTTTTGGTTTTTGGGAAAGAATTTTTACTATTTAGGCTACTGTGTTCTCAAACTTCGAGCTGCCTCCCAAGTGCTAGACATGACAGAAATGTGCCTGGTTTCTAAAGTTTTCTACACAAACCTTGGAGCTAGTATTAAGCAAATGCCAATTCAGAGTGTGCTCTCCCAGAGAGCTGAGCCAATGCTCACCAGAATCTACAATGCTCACCATACCGAAGCTACTGACTCACATCTCTGGATATGTTAGGTAATTATCTACTTGAAACATAACACACCACTCCTACGCTTTAATTTGTGAGGTTAAATATGTTTTAGTTTTATCTCAAAGCTGAAATTATTTTCCAAATTTGGAGTCTCAGACTTTTAGAAAAGTAAGAATCTTAGTCATTATGTACCTTTTTTTCTATTGAGTCATCATGGACATTTATGACTGCTGGTATGAGGTTTAATGTAACTACATGTATGTATGTGCTCTTTGCTGCTCCTAGTCTGCTCCCTGCCTGTTTGGGGCTAGCGATGTTCATTTCTACCACTCCTTGCTGGATTAGAGAGGTTACATTGGCTTTTACTCCTTTAGTATGGGAACACTAACGACCCCAGGAACTGCCACCTCAACTAAGCCATCAGGTAACAACCAGCAGCGGGAGCTTTCAAACCTCCTTTAAGATGCACCAATGACACATCACTCCAGTGTGCATCTTAGAAGTGCGTGGAATAATCCCAAGGAGCATTAGTCTAGTCTCTACTGAGCATCTTCCGGAAGAGAAGACGTGCTCTTAACATGCTCAGCCATCTCTCCTGCCCCTATTGAGGCTATTTTAAGAGTATCTCCTTATGTATCCTAGACTGGCCTGAAACTCATGACCCCTGCTTTGACTTCCCAAATATTGAGACTACAAGCATCTACCATGCCTAGATTTAGAAAGATATTTCTTATGCTTTTATCATTTCAAAATCAAGATCACATTAAAAAAAATCTGAAGGATTACTTCCACTGGTAACTTGGATTAAGTTATACACACTGCAAAACTTTGTTACAAAAATCTGACCCAAGTGTTTAGGTAGCAGGGGTATTATGACGGAAACTTCCTGACTAAAACACTGTGGTTACAACAGATAATGGCTTTAACAAAGTACACGTGAAGATATGAGGTTAAGGAGCATTTGTAAGGGCTATTCAAAAAGATCTGAAAGTAAAGTGTCAGGGAGCGAGGAGAAAGGAATGACAAAGAAAATGCATAAGCTTAGGATACTTTGACTTAGGATATTTGAGCAAAGAACATAAAAAACTTGTGGCACAATTTTCACAACCTGCATGTTCCAATTTAGAAACTGCATTACAACTCTGCTCTGGGGAACAAGTAGTTTTCTTACTTGCAAAAGTAAGTATAGATTCCTCCTTTCATTTGGTAATGGGATATATTTCCTTCATTCTAAGTCATGAAGCCTTATTACAGATACATACACCATGAGATCAAGGTAATTCTGCAGGAAAAGTACATACTTCCATTACAAGCTGGTGAGCACGAGACACCAGTGTGAGACCGTTGGCATGGTTAAATGTTTCAGAAATATCTTGTCCAAACGTGTAGCCAGCACCACGCGGTGAAATACCCCACCCGCCACGGTCATCTGGATCTGACCACAAGAGATCACACATTGGGCCCTAGACAAGGAGAACAGATACGCACTATGAATTGTTAGGTTTAACTGAGTTAGCCTCCCCACATGTGATCGCAACTTTTTCTTAAAGACAAATAAACACCAAATTCACCTCATGTGGAACTTCCTGTAAGCGATCCAGGGCTCTTATATGATCCAGTGTATCTATGGATGGAGAGAGGCCACCATGGAGGCAGAATATCTGTTGATAAGTGGAGAAGAAAAGGTTTTTGCTTTTTGTAGTTGCTAAATTAACAAACATTATTAATTAATGGTTACAAACATTAGCCTTGACAGCTTTTTCTTTTTTAAAATATTACCTGAAACATTTGTAATATACAGTGCCAATCAATTCATCAGCAATACCTTTACAGTGGCAGGGGTCCTGCTCAGGGTTTTTCTTTTCTCCC